ATAGCCAACTTGACGCCAACAGTTTCAAATTCGGAAGTTGACCGCAAGTTGTCGGTAAGTTGGTGGCAACTATCTGACACCAACTTGGTTGGTCTGAAACTGTGGTTATCAGGGGCGGAGTCAACATTCTATAAAATTATTATCTCTCCCCAATAAATACTGGGTAGTAAATTGACATCTATTTGTTGACACAGTTCGATGTCAATCTGGGGTAGATTAGTGGCAGAATGACTGCAAAAGTTAGAACGTAACATTTGCACTTCATTTGCTTGCAAACTGCATGCAGATTTACAGAAACTATAGTATTTTCTGTTTTATCCATGAAAAATGGTAATTCAGACTAAACGAGGATGCTAAACACTGATGGTTGTATGGGTGCAGACTGACAGCAGGTTCTCGCGTTTCAACTTTTGCAGTCAGATTGCCACCAATCCACGCCTCCCACCGACACCAAACTAAGTTAGCAGATTGGCGTCAATCGAACCGCAACATTTGAAAAGTCTGGATCTTCAGTTAACTTGACTTCCGATTGACACCAATCATTAGTTAGCATCTTCTGCACTGCAACTTTGGTTACTGGAGTTAACGTTATATAGATGGACAAACTAAAATTAAGGTCTTGAACATCCACTGGTAAGAATAAATCGAAGATTATGAATATAGTTTTTATTTTTAAATGAAATTTATCCTGAACTTAAAAAATTATTGGGTTCAAAAGTGACCAATTTTTTTTAATAAAATTTCCTATATATCATAAATAAGAAATACAGATCGAATAAGTGGTAGTTCAAATTATTCATTTTCTGGTATCAGATATAATATGTGAATTACCATAAGAAACCGTATTTACTTAATCTTGTTATTAGATGGCGTGGATAGTGCCTTGTAGCAAGCAATGAAGTACCTGAAATTTTTCTATTCTTCAATTTTGATACTTCCTCTTTGTTTACAAATACACGTAAAATAAAAAACAGCACTTATTACTATCTTGCACATTACTCAGTATACTGAGTATTCTATAGTATTCTGGAAGAAAATGAGGTTAAATCGCTTGGGACAGTAGAGACCGCTGTATAAAAACTACTGGCTATAGTAAGCACAATACTGAGTTGTGCGCTGACACTAACCAGTCGTGTCTCATACCCCAACTAGAATTTTAATGAGACATGCCGAAGAATCAGTTCGGGGCGAACTTGGCTTTACGAACTTAGGCTAGCCGAATTTGGACCTTATTTGTTTAAAATTAGGCAAGCCGAACACTGGTATGCCAAAAGAATTCTACATTCGGATGTATCTCGTAATACTCTGGCACTGCCTAAGTTCGCGGCGTGGGTGGATTACCTAACTAGTACGAAATAACGGTAACCAAAGGTTTACCGAAGATTGATACATCAAGCTCGGGCTCATTTAGGCAGACCTGTGGCAATACCTAAGGTCGGTATGTCATGGACTGTCAAACTGATATGAAATTACAGTAACAGAAGGTTTATCAGTTTGATATGGCAAGGAAGGGCTCATACAGACATACACAGTAAAAAATTTTGCGTCATTGCGTCAAAAAACTTAGTGTTAAAAATTTTTATGTTAAATATTTAACACTTTTTTGTGTTGATTTAACACTTTTCATGTTAATTTAACACAAATAAATGTTAAATTAACACAAAAAAGTGTTAAATATTTAACATAAAAATTTTTAACACTAAGTTTTTTGACGCAATGACGCAAAATTTTTTACTGTGTACGTACATCATCGCAGAAACATTCGGGGAAGCTTCTTTGAACCTCAAAACGTCAACATCCGTTGAAAACTTGATTTTCGAAAAACGGGGTAAAACCAATAACTTCCCAACTTTTGAAAATTTTTAATTTTCTTAGCGGGAAGTTAAAAATTCAAATATTATCTGTACTACCATCAAGTTGGTCAACAGAAAAAATTGTAAATATTTTTGGCGCATTAACATGCATGATAAAAAAGGTGAAAGAAAAAGTACAACAAGATGATATTTTATTTATTCCTGACTAGCAGTTCACCCCGGCTTTGCACGGGTGTATAACGAAAATTTCAAAATTAATTATAATATAGTATAGTCTATGTTACCCGGGGATAGTGTAGCTTTCCAACAGTGAAAGAATTTTTCAAATCGGTTCAATAGTTTCGGAGCCTATTCAATGCAAACAAAGAAACAAACAATCAAATCTTTCTTTATAATATTAGTAAAGATGAAAACAAAGACCACTCTTTACTGAAAGCTGTTGAAGATAGAATCCAAGAGTTTTTTAAAAGTCAAAATGTCAGTCGAGAATTACCCGGCAAAAAAGAATACAAATCTACACAGTAAAAAAACTTTCGTAAAATTTAACATAAAATTTTGCGTAGATGATTTTTAACTTCCCGCTAAAAATCTCAGATTTTCAAAAATCGGGAAGTTATTGTTTTCACCCCGTTTTGCAAAAATCGAGTTTTCATCAGATCCCGACGTTTGAAGGTCACAGGAAGCTTCCCTGACTATCCCCGCGAGGTTGTCACTATGTCTGTATGTATGTATTATAACCAAAAATTTTACATCGAAGTAATTTACTACTACGTAGCAGATTACTCAATGTTGGTTATACTTCTGTCTCTCACTCTCACTTTCAGTCTCAACTAAAACCCAAGGCGCCAGATAATTTTAACACAAGAGAAATTACTAAAACTCAATAAATGTAACTCAAAACTAAAATACTCTAAAAACTCGATAAAAACTAGAACCTGAGACTGGTAGCTAAAGCGGGAAAACAGGTAAACCACGGTGTCACTTAGTGTGCTGGTTTATGGAGAGAGGGAGGGATTCGGATGCAGATCGGAATTAATGTGATTATTAATACGCTTAGATATTCGATTGACCTCTGATTTATTACTAAAACTAAATAACAAAAATTATAAACGTGACTCGATACAAACTATAAATATTACAAAACTACAACTTAATAATTTACTGACAAAATAATAATTAACAAAATCCTCAATGTAGCGTGATAACTCAAAAATGATAACTAAAATATAACCTGAAGCTTTAACAATTCTCATACTAAACTCAATCATCCCCATAATCTTTACAAAACCCAAAAATATACTCAATAAAAATCCCAAAACTAAACTAACTCAAAAATCGTAACTAAAACGTATTCAAAAATTATCCCATGATAAACTCAACAATAAAAACTAACAATAAAACTAACATACCTTTAACATACCGTTCCTCGAGCTAGGATATCCCTTGGTGATTATTCTCCTGGGTTTGGCTTTGGATTGGAACCATAAACATAAAAAGATAATCTTTTTGATCGCTAGAAATTATCAAAACTAGCCAAAAATATCCAAAAATGACCATTTGGCTTCCACCGCCGGCATGGTCAGCTGCCTTCGGTGACCTGCCACCCGTACCGTATCTGACCAAATGCTGACTCCCGACGAGACTGGTCAATCCTGTTACGTGAATGTTGGAACGCTTCACGTAATAATTATCCGTAACTCCTATTCTTTCCCGATTCACAGCATTATTTATATTTGTTAAAAAAATGTGGAACGCTTCACGATTTTGCGTGAAGC